TAAATACAAAGACAATTCAGTTTGCAGTAATGGTCTGTTCCATGTTATGCCAAAATGAAAAAAAAAAACCCAAACCTTCATCATAACTTATTAAAAAAAACTATGTATTTTTGCTGTATGATACAGTGAAGCTCAACATAATGAATCACCAATTCAAATGAAAAAAGAGGCAGATTCAATATGTGCAAGAATCTCATTTTTATAGAATGCCTGGGGTGGTCTAAGTGTCTAAAAATGTGTGTAATGGAAACAGGCTTAGCCTAGATTTCCCACAAAGATTTGTACTTATGTTTCACCTGGCATGATTTGTTGCAGCTAATCTTACCACCTTGCCTAATAAGTGTGCCGTGAAACCCTGTTACTCAATTCTGGTACTGGCTTTGCTTTTCTAGTGTTTTATTGAACTACTATATTTTTAGGACAAAGTCAAAAGGAAGATGCAAAATGAAAAGGCATAGAAGCATCCAAGTGCCATAAATTTACTCAGTAAAGCTGATAAGTTGATGCTGGGTTTGAGAAGTCTGTATGAGATGGTGCCTTTGATCATCTTACTGGAAGCAGTTGTTTTGCTGTGCATTTACTCTCATGATTCACAAATTGTACTGAAAAATCCTTTAACATTAACCAGCTCAAAGGCAACTTTGTCCTTGTTTGGCTCTGAACTTTTTTTTTTGGGGGGGGGGGGCCATGACAATGTTAAGAAACTTGCTGTAATGTTTTAGAGTTGTAGAGGACTGTAGCCATGTTTCCATCATGGTATTTAGGTCTTAAGCACAAAAGGCTATTTATTTTCCAAGAAGTCTAAGAAGTTTGGTAATACACATTTAGATTTTATCACTAATTTTTAGATCTGATCTAACTCTAACATTTTTATTTAAAAAATAAAAAGCCAGCGATCTCTATCAATAAAGTAATACTACAGTTACAAATGCTTTCATGTCAAACACGTCATAAATTTATGTTTTAGAACACAAGCAAACATTTCCCAGTCATTACTCATGGACCGTTTATGAAATACTTGGGGGTGGGTGGCAGCAGAGCTGATGTGACGGTGACTGGCAGCGTTCTCCCTGGCACTGAGGGTGTGTTATAGGAGAGGGACACTCAGTTTCTGGTATTACATGGGCATGTGTCTTTGTAAGCCAAAGATGAGATTCCCTGCGGGCATGCGGAAATTTGCACACCGCTTCCTGGGTAGCAAGCTTTTGGCAAATAAACTCTCTAACTTGGAGATCTTTGGCTGAGTTTACTGTAATAAGGTGACATTCTGGCTCAGCTCCTATGGTGCCATTAGGCTTGGTTAGTACAGACTCCCTGCGTACCCCATCTCACATGTGTGCCAGAAAATGGGAGGAGAGACGTAGAAAAATGTGTGTTTTATCAACGTATTGGATAAATATGCCAGCTTATTGACGAAAATAGGATGCCTTCCAAGTATGTCCACCACAACTCACTGTACTTGCAAAACAAAGAAGTACTGTGAAGATGTATTCCTTACATAGAACACATGGGAAACAAGAAGAAAACCCAACCAAACTTTTAATAAAGACTTTCTTATAGGAACCTACATTTCTTACTAAGCTGGAATAATAAAAGGACATATTGCTACTTATAAAAAAAAAAAAAAAAAAGAAAACCAAAACTGTTTTCAGTAGTGATAGTAGTTTGAGATTTGTTTCTATTTTCAGGATGACTTTTATGGAAACAACCTTGATTTTATTAGCTTGTGTTTTATTTTATACCACAATCAGAAGGAATGATTACATTTAATATGGAGAGCTTATTAACAGAGTTAATAGTTTTAAAGATAAGATAGGAATGCTTTCTGTATGTGATTGTGAGGTCATCAGATTTACAGAAAAAACCCAACAAAACCACATGAACAAAAACATTGTGTAGCTTTCTCTTTCTTCACAATTACTGCAAAATTTATTTTGAAAAATCATTTCTTACTCAACTTCACAGTATCACTTATCTGAAAGGACCGTTTCGCAGTTTGACTAATTATACAATTTTAAAACTTCTGCTTACCTAAGGCTAATATTTCTTGGCTGTCAGTAGTAGATGACTTGACTTAGAATTTGAAAGAACATCTCATACTACAAGCTGCAAGGTCATTCAGAATTTGAAAAACAGTGCAGGTGTCCAATATGAAAAGAAATCTGCTGTGTGGAGGTCTGAATACTAGTGAACATTATAAAGCTTGGACTGACATAGGACCAAAAGCTGTTCATCTTTAGCTTCTTTCCTCAATGGCTCTAATTTCAGGACTGCATTCTGCTTCACCTAAGGCAGAAAGAAAGCATATTAATATTTTACAGTAGTCATTTAGTATGCATTAATTGTTCATGATCTACTTCATGATGCCAAAAATCCCCCAGAAAGCAGATTTTTATGAATGCAAGATTTGACTGTAAGAAGTTTCCTTAGCAAAACATGAAAAAAATAGTATAAAGAACGATTTTCCTACAGTGTACATTTTTCCATATTAAAAAATCAATTGAAATGAGTTTTTATATGACAGAAGTATGAAGGGTCAATTCATTCCCTCTCTTTAGTAGTCACTGAGGGGCCTGTTTTGGCAGCACTGAAGAAGTTCTGCTAACAGCGGTGGGAATAGCAGGATTTGATCATGTCATACATGATATCTTCCATCTTACATTAATTCCCTTATTTTAAAGTTACTCATATGCCAGAGTGTTTTGGGGACTGGAGTTTTGAAGTAAAACTCAGCTAGTCTTAGATAGTTTGTGTTTGTGCAGCATACAATTTTGGTATGAAAAAACCAGAGATTATTTATAGAAAATCTTATCAAAACTTATGCACTAAGGAACAATAGATAATTCTAGTTAACATGTAAACCTTTGTATGTTATTTTAAATAGCAAATTTAATGCAATGAATGATTCGTCATGTAACTAGTAACTAGTTTTGTAGCAAACACTATATAAATACACCAAATTGTTGTAGCAAATACAACAAATTCTGCTACTGAAGAACCTTCTCAAAATGAACCATCAGACAGTATAAAATTATTCCATCTTGTGATGAAACTACTGTGATCTCCTAAACAAATACAGGCTGTCAACAAATAGCGTTTCATCAATCTTAATTTACAAAGATACTTAGTATGCTTCTTGAAGAAAAAGAAAAAAATATTAGCTATGGTGAAAGACAGTGAACCTTTGTATGCTTCCAGCACTGTGAATTGATACTTTGAGTAGAATTTTTCCCATGATTGTAGGCATGAAATATTCTAACATTTCAGTCATAAACTTAAATATCTTATAACATTCCCATATATTATTTGTCTTCTGTAGTGTATAGGAAGTATTTGTAGTTACATTGGTCATTTACAAACATGCTATTCATATGAAGGCATTATAGGTTTGCCCTTTTTTAAGTAGTAACTTTTGCAGGTTTTTGATATCTCATTAAATATAATAATGAATGAGTGGCTTAAAGGAAAAGGAATAGCAGTAGGTTGAAAAGGACAGCCCCTGTGGAGACCCTCCAAAATCTGCAAAGAATTTGTGCAAGCAGTTCCACGATCAGAAATACTCTTCGGTTTGGGGATAGCTCTGTGATAGCCACTTATACAAGAATCCTGTTGTCATAATTAGGCCACTGGACTCCACTGGGGCCAGGAGGAGAACTGGCCTGAGACTGCATCCATGCGTCCACAAGGAGACAGGATGATTTGTGGTAGCCCTGGGGACTTGGAAATTAGAAGGATGAATTTTGGAATGCTCTTTTTCTAGGTCTTTTCCTGTAAATTTTCCTTTTTCATCAGTAGCTTGTCTGTCACCAGTTGCTTTTCTTTTTTTTTTTTTTAATCAAGGAGTTTTTTATGGTGCCATTTCAC